GTTTCTGTTTACATGTAGAATAGGAGCTGTTTCTAAGAGAAACCCAAAAAGCTCATGGCATCTTTACTCAGCTTGGGAGGATTGCTGCTAAAAATGAAAAATGCCGCCTACTATTAACGTTGTGCAATAGATTTATCTTTGACTGCAGTAGAACAGGCAACAGTGTCAAGGCTTTGTGCAGCTGGTGACCAGCATTTGGACCAGCAAGACAAGCAAATAACCATTTTTGTCTGATTGTTCTTGTTAAGCATTTTACAACCTAAAGGAGTTGCAGAAAAATTCATCTTGTGTTAAGATGGGGTGAGTGGCTGATGTGTCCCTTCAGACTCAATTCGTCTGTAGTCAAGACTTCTTGATGCTGTTTGTACCCTAGTGTGTGAGCCTATGTGATTGCTATCTTTCAATAATAGGCAGTGATTATTTTTGAAGACTAGGTAGCTTGCTAATTTTGTACTTTGTCAAATAAAGTGCAGATTACTAGATGCAGTTTATTTGATCAGTAATTTAACAAAAAACTGATTCCAGAGCACAGTTCATCATAGTTCAAGTTACCAAATGCTGATTTTAATATGAATGTTGCAAGAAGACACATTTCCATTATTAAATGGCAGCAGCTCTTTGAACTTGGTTAACTCCGTGCCTCAACCCTACAGTGTTAGTGAGGAGTGCTTGATTATTTACAGAAACAATCTAATGAACAGAACAACTTGAATTTATCAGACATCTGTAACATTCAAGTGACCCAACCACTTCAATGGGGCATAGTCAGGCTAAAATTGACACTGAACTAAACAAGGGCATATTAGGACAGCTGACCAAACCTTGGATTAAGATTCAGTTTTGGCGAGGGTCTTGAGGGAGTAGGCAGGAACAGAGAAACTTATGAAGAGAATTCCAGACCTTAAGTAATAGTTGAAGGGACGGATAGCAATGAACGGCAAGATGAAGGAAGAAGGGATGGACAGTATTAGAAGAATATGGAACATTGTCGAGTTGGTGCAAGTTATAGAGATGAGGAAGGTCGAGGCCATGGAAGGATTTGATTAAAATGGTAGGTACCATTTTGAAACCTGCGGCCCACGTGCTAAACCTTGCTGGATTTTCCACAGAGGGAACCATCCTGTTTGTGCCCAGTGTATGATGGTAGGGAGGGTCACTTAGTTTCAGTTAAGAACCGAAACTCTAATTTTCTGTCCCCTCTTCTCGAGAGCTGGGGCATCCATGTCATTATAAAGATTCAAGAAATACAGCAACTGAAAAATGAATGTGAACTTGACATGTAATCACGTGAATGTATGTTTTTGGAGACTGATCATAAAATAAAAAGCCAGAAAGTCATTTTTAAAATGAAACAAAACACGATTCTGCAAACGCTGAGCAGATCAGGCAGTGTCAGTGGAGAAAGAAACAATTAATGTTTTTGATCACTGACGTTCCATCTGCAGTATTTTGCTTTGTTCTCAGTATTGCAATGAGGCCTGCCTGACTATAAGGCCTCCCAACATTGCCCTTTTTCCACCTCATGAACATTGGAACAACTGTTAATGAAGTAAAGTTAAAGCAAACTGGAGCGTTATTCCTTGATCCGTCTGACTCAGAGTCCTGCGTTCACGTTAACTGGTCAAATATTTCTGTACAAAAGCAAAGTAATAGTAACTGACTGTGCTGGAATTATGTTGGTCCTCTTTCTATAGTCTTGAACTCTGTTTGGGACTGTTTCAGTCAGTTTACACATCATCTGCAGACAAGATGCCATATCTGTGGTTTGATATTCTGAAGTGATAGTTGGTTGAAAACATGCCTTGGCTACTGAGCAGATTGTAACTTGTACCTTTTTTTTTGTTCTGTATAGAATATGCTACGCAGGCAGGAAGAATTGGAGAATGGTGCAGCTTGGTCCATCTCCTCTGATTCTTCAGATGGTTCTTCCAGCCCACAACTCTCGACCAGCGTTAGACATTCTCAGAAAACACTGGTGCAGCCAGAAATACAGGGAGTGGTCCCTAGAATCACTATAACATTTGCACAAACTGAGGATCCTCAGGCTGCCAGGCCTGAGGTTGCCAAACAGCAAATGGAGGAGGCAGAGGAAGAGCAGGAGACTGTAAAACATGCAATATTTAATGGAACTGTACCAGTTTCCCGAACACTCAGCCATATTAGTGAGGCAAGCATAGATGCTGCAATGGACTTGAATGCATCAATGAGCACTGAGTCAGAGCCACAGATCATTGCCATATCGAATTTACTGGAGTCTTCCCAAGTCTCCGATGCAGAAGCAGATCAGCCTGTAACTGACGATACTGTCAACAAGACACTACCATCTGAAGCTCCACCAGAAAAGTCAAAAATCCCAGAAAACACATGTAGGCTGACAGTGGAGAGTGACACTTTTGTTGCTGCTGTACCATTGGTTCCGAGTGCTGCCTCTACAGAGGAAAAAACTAAGTTGACTGATCAGAAAACTGGGCCCACAGAGTATGGAAAGGTGAAACCTGTAGATGCAGGGATCGAGGAAGCTCTGATGACATTAAATTCAACACTAGATGATTATCGTGGCCAGTTCCCAGAACTCCAGAAGTTAGAGCTGGAGGTAAAACGTTTAGAGGAAGTGCTGATGGTAAGTGTTTTTTGGGATTGTGAATGGTCTGATATAAAAATGTAATTTTCAAGCTGTCTGCAAAATTCCTATGTTGTCAGCATATTTACTTTATTTAATAGGTAAAGTTGCCATAAGACTGCGCTGTCATTAGAGAGAGGTGACTGGTGGTAGTTTAATCTGAGGATCAACACTCCTCAGGCACAGGGCAAAGTTGAGAAATCAAGACCTTCATGGTAACCACAGCTGGTACAGGAATTGAACTCATGCTGTTGGCATCACTGTGCAATCCAAACCAGCCATCCAGTCAACCAAGCTAGCCAGCTCTAATGCTGTCAGTTGGTTGTTGGAATTTTTGTTATCCTGACCCCAATTGAAGTGTGGCTAAATAAATACGAACTACTGCAGATTGCAGAGATCCACCTGAAGCAGTGACTGCCAGCTGCTGGGATCCTTCTCTGTAGGAATGGACCTGATCATTCAATCTTAGAAAGTAGCCTTCAGCTCACTGCTGTGTAGTAGTGTGAGGAAGTCAAACTCTGATATTTCAAGGGCTGCACGTGCAGCCATTTTGTTGGAAGTTTGGCTCCTGTGCAATACTTTGTACTGCAGGGTTGAATAATCTGCTGTTAAGTATGAATGGCGCTTCCGTTGGGAACCTCAGGTAGTTGTTATACAATTTCCTGTTCGTAGACTTACTTTAGTGAAGCAGGGGAGAGAGCTAAAGGAAGTTTGGAATTGGGGGGAGCAGTGTGTGGTATTGTGCAGGGATGTAAAGATCTAATAATTTGTGGCCTGTATAAAATAAATACACAACTGGCTAGAAATGCAATGGTTTTTCTTAGAATTATAAAGCATTCCACACATTTTTATTTAATTCCTCTTTTATACAGTTCAGCCATTTCTACTTTGTGAGACTGGCAGTAGCTGAAGGGTCTTACGTTGTTTTCCTGACCTTGGGCACACTTTTCCTGTGCCCTCATGCTGTAAAATAAATGAATTCCTTGTCTGTTTCTTTCCAACTTGCAAACTATTTGACTGGTCAGGTAAGGTATCCTGGATAAGTACTTGTCTTCAACCCTGCTTCACTCTCTGGCACTGTTCCTTGAATCATTTCACTCATGGAAATGGTCATGCAAATCCTGTCACGTATACATTGTTTATTGTCTACACAGTTGGAGGTTTATGGCTGCACAGAATGTTAATTGACCAAATTTCATTTTTCATGACTAAATGAAAGTGTGTTCAAGTTTAAATACAGCTGTATTACTGTAAGTGAGTTATTTTGTCACTTACTTGAAAATTTGTGGTATAATTGCTTGCATTTGTATAATTCCTTTACCACACAAAAACAATCCAAGGAACTTCACATGACCATTTTTGTCCAAAATTTGATACATGAGATATGTGGGTTTTACCTCCAGGGTAAATTACCTGATCAAATAATGCTTATGTTATCCCTCGTAACACATGAAATTAGACACAGATAACAGAAAACTCCAACAGAAAACCCCAGCAGATGTCTGTTTAGGCTGGCTGTTATATAGATGTTATGTTGACTGTGGTTGTGCTAAAGTTAAGCTATTACAGCAGAAGAGTATGCTTCTGTTAGTGTCATGCTTCAAGTGATCTGAATTAAGGTGGTTTTGGAGATTTTTATACCCTACAGACCTGTGACATAGTGATGATATGAGCATGTTTCTTAAAAATAAACTGAGGCATAACACAGCATTCTCCTTTTTCCAATAATGAAATGCTTATCCCAAACAGATACAGATGGTTGTACATTAGTCATGTGTTATCATGTGAAATACTTTACAAGGTTAACATTAACATTTCAAACTTCAATGTAACTCTTCAGAGGTTTGACAACTCATCCTGATCTAGTAATCATATACCTGTCTGGCGAGGTATATGTTGTTTTCCATTGGACTTGCTGTCACACCAAATACCAGAGCTAATGTTTAATGCTTTATTCTGGAATAGTTGTGTGGATAACAGTGTTTTGAAGCAAAGGCCATTGGTTTTGAGCTTGCAGAAGACATGAGTATAGGCTTTTTGTGGGACATCCACTTTGAAAATCGTGACTTTCCTGGGGTCGTAGTATTGCTGTAGGCAAGATTTTGCTATTGAAGCCTGCTTGAAGGAAGACATATTGGTGAACATGATTATGGAGCAAATCTCTCCATGGAGATACTGTGTCCAGGAAGTTGGGAGTGTATGGCAAGAGCTAATCTAAAAGTCCAAGACAATGTCACAGATCCTTTTTATTCTGTGCAATTAGGGATGGGTAAAATATGCTGGCTTTGCCAGAGACACCCTTGTCATGTCAATGAATAAAAAAAATTCATTTAGCTTCTCCTTTTCAAATCTAGCTCTTCAAAACAAACCCCAGTTGCTTGGCTTTTTTAATTTAAAAATGACTTTTTAATCTGTGCTGCTTGGGCAGTTAAGAGTCAACCACATTGCCATGGGTCTTGATTCACATGTAGGCCGGACCAAATAAGGACATTAGTGAACCAGATGGGTTTTTCCTAATAATCAGCGATGGATTCATGGTCACCATTAGAGTCTTAATTCCAGATTTTTATTGAATTCAAATTCCACCATCTGCCGTACCTAAAACATTGTTGGTCTGTCACTATGGTTTCATATGCGTATCAATATTATGACCCTTTCTCTTGCCCAAAAATCCTTCCTAAAGGCGTTAAGCAGTGTAGAGGTGATCTCTAATTCAATGGGCCTCTCTGATAGTTCGTCTTTGGAAAGGTCACATTCGAGGTCTTTGCTATAGCATCTTCTGACAAACTGGTCAAGAGACCATTGGGGTTAGTTGTCTGTATGACATGAGTTGGGGCCTGTTAATCCTGAAGTTATTTCTTAACTTGAGCAGATCTTTGAGAACTTTCCAGAGCTTTTCTGGATGTTTCTGGTTTTCCATGGAAAAACTAGATCTGTTAATATGTCAAGCCCCTCCTTATTGATGTCTAGCAATATGTTTGGAACTTTCTTCCCTGGATTGTCTGTCACTTGATCTATAAAACAGAATTGCATATGTTTGAACAGATGCAGTTCAGTAAGGGTGTCACTGGATGCCCATTTCATATCGAGAGTTCTGCCTTTCATAGTTTAGCTTCAAAATACATTGGACTATTTTTGAAAAAGCCCTTGAATTTTTGCCAGTGGAAAATAAGAACTTCTTTAATAACAGACTCTGCAGCTGTCTGGTCTGAGAGAGAGTTACTTTTGTATCAATTTTTAGAACAGTGCATACTAGGCTTTCAGCTGTCGGTCATGTATAGCACTGTCTCAGCTCAAAATGGCTTTTATTTTTAGTTGTCACAACTTTTAAAATTTCAAATAAAAAACCAAAAGAACTGCGGATACTGTAAATCAGGAACAAAAACAAAGTTGCTGGAAAAGCTCAGCAGATCTGGCAGCATCTGTGAAGGAGAAAACAGAATTAACGTTTTGGGTCTGGTGACCCTTCCTCAGACCCTACCTCCATTCTGAGGAAGGGTCACCGGACCTGAAACGTTAATTCTGCTTTCTCCTTCACAAATGCTGCCAGACCTGCTCAGCTTTTTCAGCAACTTTGTTTTTGTTTTTAAAATTTCATTTGTCTCAAAGACTATATTTCCAATGAAAATAAATTAGCTTTGTTTCCTTTGTGATTAATGTCCTGTCTACAGATCTATACAGCTGTCTATACTCAGAAACTGAGCCTGCTTAAAAGGTGAGAAACTGACCATTTTTCTTAATTTACAGATGTCTAAAGCTCTTGTACTGTTAGACTTCAATTCATTTTCCAAATATCTACCACTGAGATCTTGGAAAATGTGATAGATGGCTAGAGCCACTAACTATGCTGTAGGTTTTATCACCAGAACAGTATATTAACTGATGTAGCAATGCTTATGTTTTCCCTTGTAACATAAACTCGGTATGGATAGCATTATATTGAAAAATCTAACCAATGTTTACAGCTGGGTATTATATACAGACATCACTTTCAGAGGCACATCGGGGATAAAATTAAGCCGGTAATAGAAGGGGGTCCTGCTTCTAGTAGCCTGTCATGCTTTAAGTGATTCAAGTTGAGACGGAATCTGAAATTTCTATACTGCATAAGGTCACATGTGACATAATGATGATGTCATGAGCGTGGGTCTTAAAGATTTAATGACCAAAAGACTCAATACCACATGGACAGTTGACTAAAAACTTGGAAGGAAGAGAACAAGAAAAGGTAAATATGTATTAAGGAGGGAATGATTAAAATTGGGGTTGTGCAACAGACCAGCATTGGAGCACACAGTTATCTTAAAGAGTTAGTGGAAGCCATGGAGGGATTTTAAATCAAGGATGGGAATTTTAAAATTAAGACTGTGCTTAATCAGGAGATTAATGTTGGTTGTCTTATATGTGGGTGAATGGAACTGTGTATTAGGATGCAGGCAGCAGAGTTTTAAATGAGCTCATTTTTATGAAAGGTGGAAGATGAGCAACTAGCTAGGATTGCAGGAACTGCAGATATAAACATTGAAAAATATCTCATGGCTGGTGTAGGGGGTTGTGGACAGAATGAACTGTGCCACCTTGTTCTTCACTTACTGATGTACCAGACCAGGTTGAGATGAGGGGAATGTGTTTTGAGAGAGTGACCTATCTTGACCCGGGGGGGTGTAATAATTTGCAGGGGGTTGAATCACTTTGTCGTACAACTGGCAGCTGTCTCCTTATTAAATTCTAGCCAGGGCAGCTTTCCTTTCTATGCAGAAGCCAGTCTAGTTCAATCCAAGCCAGCACTTCCTGCTGTAATGCAGTGAAGGATAAGTTTATAGTGTTCCTGAGTGAACTGGGAAAGATGGCTCCAGAGACTTCAGCTCATTATGGTCAGCAGTACCTTGTTTGTTCCAACACTGAAGACTTCACCAACTCCCACTGGTATTATTTTGACATTTCTTTTTGATTTTAAAATGTTTAAAAGCTGTTAATTTATTAAGTGAGGCTATTAACTT